GTGTGTGTGTGTGTGTGTGTGTGTGTGTGTGTGTGTGTGTGTGTGTGTGTGTGTGTGTAAGTCTAAGGCAAAAAATGCCTGGAAATATGTATGTCAAAACATAAATAGTGGTCTCCTCCCCACCACAGAATTGCAGCCACTAAAACATGAGTACATCTGCTTTGTGATATAGTAATGTAAAAATGACAGCTGAGGTCAAATGCCACCTTTAATCCCACAATATCAAGAAGGTTTTCTGTCAAATCTTTAATTTTAAGAACAGAACCAAAAGGATGGGTGGTACCCAAGATTAACTGACTGACATCTCCTGCAGTGGACTGAAATGTCTGACAAGAATCCAAACAAACAAACAAACAAACAAACAAACATGTGGCACTTCTGTAGAGCTCTTCCTTCCTGTGAAACTATTAAGGAAAAAAATCAGAATATTGTCTATGTTTCTAAGAAATTTAAAAATGCTGCCATCTTCCCCCATGATATAGTAATGGAAATTCATCTATATTAACTTTCTTAAAAAAAAAAATGTCCAAAGTGGCTCAGTCCATGGGTGACTCAGCTAAACCATGTAGATTTGTTTCTCCCTTACTTTGGCTGACTACCTCCACATTTCAGATACAAAAGTCTCTCCCACCCCCCAGAGATGGAAAACACACTCTGAAAATAAACAAAGTGACTTTACTCAAAAGTCGCCAAAACCTTGTCTGAGTTGGTTAAGAATTTAAATAACTAGTTTTACGAAGCCTTCCTGTTCCCTCATCCAAAGTCCTTATTCCCATAACAACATGCCGTAGTGGAGAGGGCTCAGAGTGGATGGGCTTTCTATAATACTTCGGCTAGCTCCTTATCAGCTGTGTAGCCCTGGGACAACTCAACCTCTCAGTTTTTCCCAGTTAAGGCTCCCAGATGGTCTTGACTCAAAGGTCAAATGAGATCACCTACCTCTTAGAAACCCAAAGTGTCCCACACAGGTTACTGTTGTGAGATTCTAGCAGAGCTCTGCATCTTAGGGGCTGCTTAGGGGAGTGAGATATGAGCTCCTTCCTCCCCTGTGGAAAAGACTTCCAATCTGATCCTGAAGACGGCTTCCCTGCTATCCACAAGAGGCAAAGTGGGGAGAGGCAGAGGAGCTCTGCCACAAAGTAAGTGTTGACCTTTGGCAATCCAGTTACATTGCTGTGTTATCCATTTGGCAAGTGTTACAGAGCACCCGCAAGTCTTCCTGGGTGCGAAAATGCAGAGAGAGATAATCCTGTCCAGTGGAAAGAGATATCCCTACTCTCTCAATAAATATTGTAAGTAGATGCAGTCATTTTTAAAAGGTGTTTCTTTGAGACACCCTTGCAACATCACGAATGAAGCCAAGCATCCTGATTCCCAGTGCACTGTGTCCCCAGAATTTCTCTCCAAAATGCTGACGTGGGCTATTCTTTACATCTCAGTGCTTGCTACAGAAGCAGTTCAGCTCATTTCTGCCTTTATAAACAGATCTTGACTTCGGCATGCAGCAAAGAGGAGCAGTTCTGTAAATGAAGGGACTCAGCCCATCAAATTCTCTTCTTCTGAAACCCCAGCTGAATAAGAACCTAGGGAGGGAACAGCAGGCCCAGTACCCTTGGCTCAGATCTTGCATAAGTCAGAAACAGTCGTGTGACCAAGAATGGGCTATCATTTAAAGTGTGGATACCTGTACTTTTCTCCTGTTGTTTTGTTTCAGATTGAGGCATCAGGATAGATATCATTCAGTACTGAAGTGTGGCAGACATGTAGGTTAGAAATGCATTTGGTTCTAAGTTAGAACAAAAACAAGACTGTCTCATAAACAAAAGTAAAGACACTGATTTGTTCTTTACAATGAGCAGTACTGGGATAGACAGCCCAGGGTGGAGAGCACGGGCAGTCCACAAGGCTGCCAGAGTCAGGCACTCTCTACTTCTTATGGTACAGTCTCAGCTGTCAGGACTCCATCCACAGCATGGCCTCATGGTTTCCACCAGATGAGAGCTGCCAGGATAGAGAGGTAGTCTGCGGGAGCAACAGGCAAAGGGTATGGCAGCCCATTCCACCTCTGGGAGGAGTTGGGGAAGGGAAAACCATGATCAGAACATACTGTACCAAAAAAAATTTTTTTCAACTTTTAAAAAAAAAGCTTGAGGTAGATCTACCCCAGAATCTTCCAGTTATCTCTAACTGATGAGGACGTGTGGTGCACACAGTGTGAGCATCGCTGAAAGGTGATCTTCCACTTGCATCTAACTGATGAGAAAACAATGGTGCACACACTGTGACTGGCTAAAAGGTGAAGGAGAGAAAGAAAACTGGCTGGCAGCTGCATCCACCTGCCCACAAAGATGTGCCACAAACAACTCAGGACACCTACTTAACAGCTGATAGATGTAGGTGTTAAGCAAGAATTTTGTTGTCAATGCTTAATTATATACTTTTTAATTTGTTTCTTTCTTGGTATCCTAGCAACTTTAAAATCTCTCTCAGGTGTGCTTTTACTCTCTCGCCAAGTTCATGGTTACCTTTGCAACAGTGCAAAGAGGAGGTACAGTGTTTGTAAATCACACCATTTCCTTCTGTTTCTGCCTGAAATGAAGACACTGGTGCTTCTCAGCAAGGAGGTTGTGGAAATGGTCTGAACTGTTCTCAGATGCTGGGTCAGGAAGTGTTGACCTGGCAGAAGTGAGGGCCCAGTGGCTGTCACCTGCAGACCCTTGGGGTCCTGTGTGGCATTGCACGTGAAGATGTCCAGGAGACAGGGTATCTTTTAACACAAAGACAATTTAAACAAAGCTTTGTTGTCTGTCTAATAACCTCCATCTTAAATAATAATACAAAACCACCTAAGGCTAAAACAGCACTTAATTTTCACAGGAGAAAAAAATGTTTTAAAGTTGGAAAACCTTTATGCCAACTAAAACATAGGTTCAAACCTGTATGGCTCATTACTGTTTTTGTTATGTCTTTTATTTTGCCAATATTTCTAAAAACTTACTTCTAACATTTTACACTTTTAGGATTACATGTTATATTTTATAACATGGAAAGAAGACATGGCTTTATATTCTTACAACACAAGATCACTGTATAATAACTGAAAGCTCATGGTTTATAAAATGGCTGTCAAAGAATTTATTTCAAACTGCAATACTTCCCTCAATCTTAGAATAATTGAAAAGCAAGGGCTTTGGAGCTCCGCAATGCTGACTTCTGATTGAGACTTTATCAATTACTACCATTTACCATTTACCCTATTTCCTTATCCATTGAAAGAAATAATTGTTCCCACTATACAGCATTACTGTAAGCTTGAATCTAAGGAAGATAATGTGGGCATTGTGCACAGCCCAGTCTTAGGACTAGGCTGAGACTCAACAAGTGATAAGCACTATTGTTAATGATGAGCAAGTTGTAGCATTTTCTATTTCTTAGCTACATTTAAAGGCCAGCAGTAGTTAATATGACTTCTCTTGAACATTCTACTAAACTAGAGATTGAGCCTTTCTGTTTTCTTTTCATATTCATCGTTCAAGTGGAAAGTCTTAGTTTAAAACTGATAAACAATAATTATTAATTATTGGAGAAAGTTTATATTTTATAACCTTGATTATAAACTTCTAAGTCCATTATGAACTTACTACAGATGGGCAATAGTCCAATTATTAAATAATGCCTTGGAGGAGGTGGTTGCATACTCATTTGTGCATGTATAGATGGAAGGAAGAGATAAACCTGAGCTGTAATTCCTCCAGAGCCATCCACCTTGATTTCTGAGACAAGGTTTCTCTGAGATCTGAGCCCACTGATTTGGCTAGGATGGATAGGCAATGAACCTGAAATCTACTTGTCTCCACCTCCACAGCACACCACCACATTTTGCTTTGTATGTGGGTGCTGGAGATCACACTTAAGTTCCCAGTGCTTGTGGAGCAAGCACTTTGCCCTAAGTGATCACCCCAGCCCCCCATTTTTAAATAACATTTTAATCTCTAATATGATCAAGTCACAATAGTTACTCCATGTTTCTTGGATTCCACCAAAGATCATGAAGTATATTAAATGAATCAAATATTTCACAGAACATTACATTAATTCCTTTGGACACATCGACTATGCGTGTCACTACTTGAGAGAATTATTGAATGAATGGAAGACACAAGTGTGCTGGTAGCTAATCTGAGTGCAGTTGACCTAGGGTAGCTTACATTGACCCATGTAACTAAAGTTAAAATGTGTCCATAGTTTAATCCTGGATAGACTACAAATCCCTTGAGAATTTTTCCTAAAAATGATAATGCTTTTGTCTGCCTTCAGACATCTTGCCACTATAGTTACAGGGTGCTCACTTGAAGACCAAAACAAGAATTTGACTGACTTTGGACACAAAGATTAAAAATATGTACAACATTTTCAATATTGAATTCATGAGCAAAACAAAAAATTAGTAAATTGTCAAATTTTCCACCACCACAAACATTCTAGTCAATGCCTTTATGTGGTATTTTGTGGATAGTATTGAAACCTAATCATGATGTGCATTTTAATATATTTGTATCATCTTCATCAATATTTGAAATATAGAGGGTATTCTGCCAGGTGCCCATTCCAGGTTACTTAAACTTTCCAATTTCCCTCTAATTAGGCTCTGAGATAACTACCAATTAGTAGTAAAAGTAACCATTTAATATTCACCATGTTTTTATAAAATTGTCTTTGCATTTAGAATTATTTCATTGAGATAGATTCCAGCTGCCAAAATTATGAGAGTAATATATGAGTTCTCAGTTCAGATACATCTGACAAACTATACGTATTAACATTCATAAAGGTCTTCTTTGTTATAAATTTAATTTGTTAGACTTACTGAAATCTGTTCTACAACTTGGCAAAGTTTAAATAAGTAAAATGAAACTGTTTGGGCATACAGAATGACAACTCAATCTTTCTCCAATATATCGCTCTGTAGAAGTATCCAGTTTCCATCTTGTTTCTTTCAGTTTTACGGGAGATTCTAAACTTGCCTCAAGCATGCGCTATGTGGAAACACAGTCAATGCAGATCGGAGCATCCTATATGATTCAGTTCAGCCTGGTGATGGGATGTGGCCAGAAATACACTCCTCACATGGACAACCAGGTGAAGCTGGAGTACTCAGCCAACCACGGCCTTACATGGCACCTTGTACAAGAAGTACGTGTTTTCTCTAATGCTTGCAATTGCTATCTTCTTCCTTTAGTTGAAAAAAAAAAAAAAACGCATTATACAGCCTAGAATTGACATCAAGTTAGAACCATCACAAAGAGACATGACCCCCCACCCAAGTATCAGATACCAAAGAGCAATTGGAAATAAAATAAATAAGCATAGCCCAACTGGATACTCTTGGATAGTATTTTGAGTATTATTTCTCTAACTCTTTTCCTCAGAAAACATTACTCTTCTTCCCCTATGGCATGTTTCAATCTCTTCTTTTCCCAACCATAGGGAATGTGGTACCTTCTGACCTTAGAAACAAACAAATAAGAACTATAATCTAATTTTGGTAATAAATTTACTTTACATGTGACACACATACCCCAATAATCTGACAGTGCCATAAATGCAAAAATATTTTAACACATAGGATAGATTTTACAAATGCTAATGTTAATAGGTCGAAATTAATCCTCGTCCATTTCTATTTGTGGTGAGAACTGAAAGATGTTTAATTCTATGATGAAATCTCAGTTGTAATTACTTCCCAAATGTTTTAAATGTCACAGAAGGAAAAATCATGAATTTGGTCCCTAGTGCCAATAGCTAAGATTATGGCTTTAGCTTTCTCTGAGTTCTTTTTCTCTTGCAGTAGGAGATGAAACATCTCCAGCAGGCAAAGGGAGGATGACTTTAACTTTTGCCTCTTTCAGGAATGCCTTCCCAGTATGCCAAGTTGCCAGGAATTTACATCTGCCAGCATTTACCATGCCAGTGAGTTCACACAGTGGAGGAGAGTCATTGTTCTTCTTCCCCAGAAGACCTGGTGAGCAAGGATGTCCTAAACATGGCTGTTACTTCCATTTCTATTCTGTTATCATGATCTGAGCGTGAAGATAAGCTCAACAGAATAGTAAGACTATTTTCTCTCCATTCAGAAGCCCAATCATGCTTTTATACTCAGGTTTTTATAAAATGGAGCTAATGAGAAATATGAAAATTTGTTTTTCCCAGTGTTTCTGGCCTCTCTTCTTGCCCAAAAAATTTGCTTTTGCAGAAAAGCCAATGAGCCTACTTCTTTACATTTAACATTCAAAATGAAATGATACAAGGGATCTAGAAATACAAGCAGTTCACATTGCAAATTTATTTTCTCATTGCAAAGCCCAACATTTTACAACAAAAGCTTAGCACACATTCTTTTTCTAGTCACATTTTTTTAGTAACAATAGAAATCATCCCTTGGGAGGAAGAGGCCTCAGTAAACAAGGAAGAAAGAACAATCAAGAAGGGGGAAGAGAAAAATCATAATAGTTTTTTGCAGACATTCATTTTTTCATCTTAGTCTGGTCAGTCAAAACACTGCAATATTATTGCCTTTTTTTCATTCAGTGCTATGGATAATATTAAAGTCTTTTGTCAGCATAAGCTTGTCCAAAGAAAAAGCCTTGGGCTGCAAATTGGGTCTGAATTCTCAATATAGCTCCACCAGTGATCAACCAGCCACATGATCCTGACTGTTACCACCTACCTCTTCAAGGTGGAACCCTGTGACTGGACTGTTTTAATTAGTTTGTCTTAAAGGTTCCTCACCACCCTGGACTTCTAGGATTCTGGTATATGTGTAGAAGAAAAAGCATAAACAAGGAAGCATTGTATTTTCCTGTGGCATATGCCTTCAGTGTACTTTTTATGAAGAGAAAATGACTAAACAAATCTTTCTCTGATTGTTTTATATATAAAAGTTAGGTACCTCACAAAGGCAATGGGCAGGCGACAACCCAGACTTACTTTATAACTTCTGTTGAAGACTGAATGGCTGCACTGTGTTAAGAATGGCTCCTTGATTGTTTTTAGAGTACATCATTATGTCAGTTGGAATAAAATGCTTGAAATTTGATTTCCACAGGTTTTTTTTTTTGTCCCACTGTGAGTCATTTCCAAGATATTCTATTGATGCTTTGTATAATAAGCCCTTGCTTTCTTTAATATTCTACTCTTTTGTGTCTACTGCTGGGAATGTAATCAAGATTTTGATTTAATTTCAATGATATTCCAAGCATGTATTTCAATGAAAGCATATGTAAAACAACACCTCAAACAATTGAAACACTGATCACTCTGAATGCAAACTTCTGAGGGCTTTCAGTCTTCATTGCTGCATAATTAAATTTATTTCTCTCATTATTAAGAAAAACACCAAAGTGATTTTACTCATGAGCAGATATGGTTCAGTTTCAAAATGGCACTGTTAAGATAGTACCAATAATGTGTTACAGAGATGTCTTTTTTTTTCCTTTTTTCCTTTTTCTTTTTTCTTTTGGTTTTTCGAGACAGGGTTTCTCTGTGTAGTTTTGCGCCTTTCCTGGGACTCACTTGGTAGCCCAGGCTGGCCTCGAACTCACATAGATCCTCCTGGCTCTACCTCCCAAGTGCTGGGATTAAAGGCATGCGCCACCACCGCCCGGCCAGAGATGTCTTTTTACCCTAGAAACATTCTAGACTATCGTTCTTTTTTAAATTTTTATGTGTTTGAGTGTTTGGGCTGTATGGTGACACCTGTGTGCCTGGTGCCCTCAGAGGCCAGATGTCATTAGGTCTCTTGGACCTGGGGTTATTGACAGTGGGTCCTAGGAATCAAACCCAGGTCCTCTGGAACAGCAGCAAGTGTTTTCAACCACTGAACCATATCACCGGGTCTGAGTCAGAAAAGGTTACTCTTCATCAGTGTTACCTGACACTTGAAGGGAAATGTGGTGACCCTTAAACTCTACATTCATTAGAGTGCCTGTGCTATAGTAGATGTCTTTATGGAATGTTGGAAAATTAAATAGAATTTTGATTCAAAGTGCATCAATGTACTAAAAAGGTGGTTGCTGTAAGACATATATGTACATTTACGTCACAGAAACAGAAGGACCTTTGGTATCAGGAAGAGGTCCAGCAGGAGGGAGAGAGGGAAGGAGAAAGATGAGTGAAGTGCAGTGACTCTGTACACATGTGGGAATGCCATGAAGAAACTTACTTTGTGTGCCAGTTAAACTTTTCAGATATATTGTTTCCAGACAGAACAGAAGTACTGCTCTTGTTGCCCTGTGCCTTTAAGCACATGTACTCAGAACCAAATTCTGCTTTCCTGGTTTCCTTTAGACTCCTTGGGAGGGAAAAGTGAAATAATATTTTAAAAACCATCAGCCCAGGATAGTGGTTATTTTAGTATTCCCTTTGACTCATAGTTAATCTAAATAGTATTGCTACATGAAAAAAGCTCTAAGTTGGTTGTTGCCATTGTTTCTGAGTATATAATGGTTAAAGTCTCTACCATAAAGATTAAACTTATTTAGTCTCCTCAGCATCCTTGGTAATTTTTTTTTATTAAGTTTATTTTAAGTTTTCACAAACAGCATTCCACTGGGGAAAGAAACAGTTTGGTTTGAAGCAGTGTTATTTCTCTGACCAAATCATTGTTCTGCTGTTTGACTCAAACATGGATGCAAATATAAATTGAATACATTAAAGCAAGCATGGTCCTTGCGTTATCCTAGGTGTGTTAACTTTGTAGAATGTGCTTGATCGGATAACTGTCCAGTGGAAAGAGCTACTGGATACACCTGCTCAGAGAAATTACACTATATACGAACTGAACATTTGTTACCCAATGAAAATTAATTTCATTTTTATGAGGGACATTTACATAAGAACAGGGCCTAATGAGACCCAAACAGCTGTCAGTTGCTGACTTCATAAACAAATCAACACCTAATGACTGAATGAGTTTCAGAATAATTGGACAAATGCAATTACAGGAACTCTAAAGGTGGAAAATACAATTTAGTCAGCCTTCATTTACCTTGATTCTTCAGGTTACATAAGCATGGAGAAATGAGTGGATGCCAGTATACTTTGGTCTTGAAGTTTATGGGAAGAGGGGGTATGCCTCAAGTTTTGTTGCTTTTAGAAATCCATAGAATTTGAAGTTTGGATTTTAAATGCAAGTCAGTGTTATTGCATGACCTCTTCAGAGATGATGGATGGATGGATGGATGGATGGATGGATGGATGGATGGATGGATGGATGGATGGATGGATGGGTAGGTGGGTGGGTGGATGGATGGACACCAGACAGACAGATAGGTGGTAGAATGGCTTGGCAAATGAAGTGTTTGTGTTGAGGACAGTATTGAACAATGATGCACCTGTGAATCAGTGTGATCACACCTCATCTTCCCTCATGTGATTAGCTGGAGATGGCTCACACAATTAATTTTTTTCCTCACTAAAATCTAATCCAATATTCAACCTCTTTTTCCTGGCTTTCCTCTTAACTGACATCAATATGTGGAGTATATTTAAGTGAAATAACCTTAAGCTTTCTATGGTTAGGACATACCTCTTCAAGAATTCATGAGCATGAATTCTTCCTTAGGGAAAAACTTAGATGCACATGTGGCTGTAAGAATATAAGCTGGAAATCTAAGAAGGGTTTCTCAACACCCCTACCCCATTTTACTACTGCAAGTAGAAAGCCTCAAAATAATTTTCATCAGTGCTGTAAAGGCATCTAGCTGTGAAGATAATAAACTACCACTTCAGAGTCAGAGACTTCAAGGGATCCTAAAAATCAATTTGTCCACAGTGAGGAAGGAAAAGCTCTGACCGTTTGGATTTCTCACTAAACATCACACGGCTCCTGAGCTGCAGAGCTGGAGTCAAAGGCGTCTCATCCTGACTCCTGTGCATTCTTCAGTCCTTTGCCTTTAGAAGTTAGAAACACACTCCGCTTCTAGCCGGTTTGACTAATTTTTAGCACACTATTTTTGAGCACCTAATTTATTCTGTCCCTGTACAAACTATTTCGATGAGTACTGTGCTTGTCTCCAAAAAGACCATGGACCAGTCCGCTGGGACTCTGGGTCTGACTCAGATTATAGTCGGTTTTAAAAGAATAGAGCACCTCTCCTTTTCATGATGAGAGTGGTCCATGAGTTTTGTTTGGTTCAATTCTATGGGGCACTATGTTTGTCTTAGCCAGCGTTCACAGCAACTCTTATAAAAGAAAACATTTAATCGGGGCTTCCTTACAGTTTCAGAGGTTCAGCCCATTATCATCATGGTGAGGAGCATGGTGCCATGCAGGCAGAGGTGGTGCTGAGAAGTAGCTAAGAGTTACATCTGGATCCATAGGCAGCAGGAAGAGAGAGGCTCTGGGCCAGGTATGGGCCTTTAAGACCTCAAAGCCCATCCCCAGTGACATAAGGCCACACTGCCTATTCCTTCTCAAGTAATACCACTCCCTGAAGGCAAAGCGTTCACATATCTGAGCCTGTGGAAGCCATTCTTATTCAACCACCATGGTACTCTGATGGAATCTGCATTTGTTGTAGGCTTCTCTAAAAGCCAGTTAGTTACAGAACTATGAAAATCAGGTGACTGTTAAATTACAAACATAAGCCTACTACCATAGCGATGCCCCATCTACTGGAGGCCCTCAGTGAGCCCTGGAACCATCTTGCTACAAATGAAAACACAAGCTATTAGCAACAGATTATAAACAAAGTAAAAGCTTAGTCTGGATTTTAGCAGGCTGTTGCATACTTGTGGTGTGATTATATGTGTGATCACTATGGATTACTATGGATCATTCTGAGACAGAGCAAGTGTGTCTGTCGAGTGTGCTAAGGAGTGCTGTAATCACCAGAGCTAAGCACTCACAAGAATTCTGTGAATTCTTCATTGCTGGTGCTGCTGTTTATTGTGGCTGTTTTAGCACTTTGACTAAAAAGAATTCATCACAGATCTCTGTAAATTCCTACAGGTGAATTTTTTTCTGTAATTTTTTATTCGTTTTTATGTTTTTATTTTTATCAAGTATTTTTTATTCATTTTACATATTAATCACAGATCCCCCTCTCTTCCTTCATCCTGCCCCCCCCCCCGCGCCTTTCCTCCCAACCTACCCCCTATTCCCTCATCCTACAAGGTAAGGCCTCCCATGGGGAGTCAGCAGAGCCTGGCACATTCAGCTGAGGCAGGTCCAAGTTCCTCCCCCTACATCAAGGCTGTGGACTAGGCCCTCTGCGTAATCTAGACAGTTGTGTAGCTTGATCTGCTTAAGGGACTCCAGGCAGTAGGATCAGGATCCATCCCTGGTGAATGAGCTGGCTCTTTGGAGCTCACTACCTATGTGGGACACCTTGCACAGTCTCTGTAATTTTTTAAAAAATGTTTTCAAGTGGTCACTGATTTTGAGCCTTTTTTATATGAATCTCAAAATATCATCTTTAGACTCTGACGTCAATGAACTGCAAATATCTGTGTTTAACTTTTCATCTCTATTTAAAGTCCACTGGCCCATGAGACTCAAGCAAGTTTGTGTTTCAGAAATAAGCACATCCTCACATGCAGATAATCTTCTTTCTAAATAGAACTTTTCAGTGTGTCTTCTCAACCCCAAAATTGCATTCTAAAGTTTTTGTTTTATATTCTGAACCAAATCGAAGTCTGCCAATAATGACTGGTGTGCTTGTTCTGAGAAATAGTTTTACTTGGGGTAAAATATTTCATATTCTCATCTGTGAAGGACATGTTTTATTTAATAGGTAGCTTTTACTTTCGAATGTTATTTCTTTATTTCTAGAATCAAATTTTCAAGTAACAACAGAAAGTCTGGCCCTCTATTTTTCTTTAAAATGCTTCAACTAAATTAAGATTAAAGCACAATATAGGCAGGCTCTTTTTCAACTTTCTTTCATAATAGAATTGTTGAATTGCAAAATAATTGAGTGGAAATTAAACCAAAAAATATTGGGAGCCTAAATAGAAGTTCTGGAGGCTTTGTTATCAGAAAGGTGCTGAACTCTGGTGTTCTTAGTGAGAAATGCCGTAGTTCATCTGATACTGCCTGCTTTACTCCTAGGTCCAGTGCCACCCGCTTCCGCTGGAGCCAGAGCTATTACACAGCCCAGGATGAGTGGGCGTTAGACAGCATTTACATTGGGCAGCAGTGCCCCAACATGTGCAGTGGGCATGGCTCATGCGACCATGGCTTGTGCAGGTATGTGCTCCTGAGCGTACGGTCCACTCCCGAGTCTCAGGGTTGGTGTCTGTGGGTTCATCTCAGCCGTTATTTTCCCAGTCAGTGCAAAGACTCATAAATCACAAAATAGCCAAAAGAAAGTGAATCTCCCTCTGCTCTTATTTTATATGTAAAAGACACTTACATTCATGTGAAGCCATATGTATTCTAAACCTCTACATCTAAACTCCAGACAAGGTCTGCTGGGTTAATTTGAAGGCCTTGCTGTTATTTCCCACCTATCCCTCATCATCTTCAATTAGTCAAACACTTCAGAACTCTCTCCTACAGCACTTCAAGGTTGTGCACATGGAAGGAAAGTAACTACACTTGAATACTACAAGACCCCAAAATACGTGATTTAATCAGAACTATAAAACATCACCAGAGTGACATGTTAACTAAATGAATGAACCTACATATATGACATTTTTAAAGCAATGGGGAAATCCCAGTCTCTCTTGCACAAACATAAGCCCATGTGTCATTCATTACTTCTTAATCTTAAATTCCACAATTTTTACATAATATCTGTAACTAAAGATTCTGCCCATTTTGAGGAATGTGAAAACTGAAGATAGTACCATATCATATATACATTAATGCTATAGCGATATATAGTGTAAGGGTGAGACCTGGGGGAACATGACATGTGGGGACACCTTAAGTAGGAGAGTCATTGTGTGTCTGATGACCTGGTTACTTTCACTGTTCTCATAGGTGTGACCAGGGATACCAAGGAACTGAATGCCACCCAGAAGCTGCACTTCCTTCCACAATTATGTCAGATTTTGAGAACCCAAACGGTTGGGAATCTGACTGGCAAGAAGTTATTGGGGGAGAAATTGTAAAGCCAGAGCAAGGCTGTGGGGTTGTTTCTTCTGGATCTTCCCTATACTTCAGCAAGGTATGCTGGGGGTTGGAATGATCCATGAAGGCAGTGGCTGGCTTGACATGAGACTTTTTCACAGACATGCTAACCTCCACAGCTACAAATATCACATGGTTTTACTGTCCTTCGTGCCCTGGCTTCTGACTGGGCTATTGTGACACTGGGAAACTTGTTCTATTATTGATTTGAGTTACTGCAAATACAGGTTAAGCAGTTTAGAGTTCCTACTATGCTCATTCTGTTCTGTGCAGTGCTAGAGACTGAACTGTCAGCTCTGACATGGTACGCAAGCATTCTACCTCTGAGTGACATCCTGGACCCCCTCACCCGCCAAGGCTCTGGCACTTCATTTAAATCCCAGCTTCTCTATGGTCCAGTGCTGTGTGGGCTTATGTCTTGAGGGCTGTTGACTAGAGCAGGCTTTTAATCTGTCCTCACTCTGACCTTTTAGACTATGTGAGAGGGAAAGACTAGGGCAAGAGATGCACAGGGCTAGGGATGGAAGAGCCCGGAGGTTAGGGAAGCAATTGTATGTGTATGACTCAGTCTGATTCTGCCACTTCCAGTTATGTGACTTCAGGCACATTACTTAATCCTCTCTTCACTTAGCCTCCTCATCCATAAAGTGGGCACAATGGAAGAGTCCACTTCATTAGAGATCTTGTGTAGATGGAGTTAGGGTCAATGGTGTAGAATTTGGGTTTATTGAATTTGTTATCCCATGAATCTTAGGACTGTGGTTGAAGGAACTAAGAGTGACTGTAGGAAGGAAGTGTTCCTGTGGGGAGGGGGCTGAGCAGCTACTGTATTGAGCAAATATCGTATACTAATCTCATCAGAAGACACACTTCACTCATGAGCTGTATCATCTCTAGGGTTAAAAACAGACGCTATCCCAGGCCGCCTTAACCAAGCTAAAATTTCATCTATCTCAGGGGCTGTTCTGTCTTAGTTTAGCGGCTGCTGGTAGATTCTACTGATGTGTAGAATGCTTCATAAAGCTTGTTCATGAAATGTTCAGCTTCCCTCGTTGCAGCACCCAGTTAGGCATTCAAATTAGTAAATATCAACAAGGGACTCAGATGCCAGGCACAGGCAGAACTGCAACAACTGCTTCTCTTTGAACACCCCCAATCCACGTGGATTTGCTAAGGGAAGAGTGGAACCTCCCTCCTCTCCTCCGATGCGATAGTCCAGGCAGACCATTCTTTTCCAGTCT